CTTGGGGCGTAGGCGTCGTGTAAGCATTTTGCGTAGGTGGGTGTTGAAAGACTTGCGTAGGCAGTCTTGTGTAGGCACACTTTTCATGAAAACATGAGTTTTCTTTAGACATTGTGCAAGGGTCTTGAGGAAAGATAATGTTGGCTTGTAGTTGTTTAACTTGCCACTTGCTTGCAAATTCCAGTATGGGAAGGAAAATGAATTGTAATGGCATGGCTACAGTGGATGTTTGAAGTTTGTTTGTCGAAGCTATGGGGGCGTCACACAGGTTTTTGAGGTCAAAAACTTGATCGTGCTTGGTCTGGCACACCGGCTCTTGAGCCACAAGTGTGCACACCCTGTTGGTATCATAATCGATGGACCTATTTTCGCGTAGGCCCCGCGTAGGCGCTCGCGGAAGCAGCGCGTAGGCAAGAAGCTATTGGCTGCTGCTACTGCTTGGCTGCTGCTGTTGCTGTTGCTTGGCTGCTGCTGCTGCTGCCTCTTGTTTTCTGCTGATTGTTTGCTGCTTGTTGTGTGCATTGTGCGCTGCTGCTTCCACACTGTATTTGGATTGGCTTGATACAGAATCTATTTGGCCATCGGTGGCAAAGCTGTAAATGCCTTGTAAACAGGAACCTGATATGACCCGGTCGCATCGGGCCACTACTTGCTGATTACTGTGTATATAGCTCTTTTCGAATCACCTGATGTGACTAAAGTTGGTGACAGTACCCTGCGTAGGCATCCGCGTAGGTACCTAACAAAGAGAACCTCTCGCGTAGGCATTTGCTTGAGAGGGGAGCCCAGGCGTAGGCACCCGCGTAGGTACAGACCCAGTGTATAAGCCCCACCACCCAAAAAAAACAAACACAACTCAGGTGAGGATCAGAAGGACGAGGTGCACGGGAAGAAGAAGACGCAGATGATGTCATTGAGACTGGGAGAAACATGTTTGGCAGGGCTTTGAGTTTGTTGAGGATGTTAGTCCTTAGTGATCCTTAGTGAGAGATGATAGAAGGTGTTTTTTGACCCGGTTCCGTCGCTAACCTTCATGTAAAGATCGGGTAACCTACCAGAGTTTGTGGGACAAGCATCCATTTGCAAGCATTCACGGTGTGATCTACAGGGACATTGCTACTTGACCCAGATCGAGTCAGCTTTCTGTTGTAGGTGGGGCTGGCTTTGTAATGACTTTGGTGGCATACTTTCATACTTTGACCCTTTTTCTCGCATTTTCTCTCATTCATTTAGTCCGCAAAGTTTGCCCTTGATATTTGTATTTGTATGACATGGCATACTGCTAGTGATTGACCAATTCCACTTTCTTGGGGCCAGAAACCCTCAGAACCATTGAAGGACTGGCTCGTTTTGGGCAAGTTTGGGTGGGGATCTGGAACTTCCCCACTAAGGAGAGCGCAAGTCTTGGGCTCCTATGCCAAGGCCCAAGCCTCCTTGTGAGACTTGCCGCTAGCTCGGTAGAATGAAGGCCTAGGTTTTGGAGGTTTTCAGACGGGTCCATTCATTCCAAGAAAAAACTGGGAAGTCATCCACTGAACCCAAGGAGGACTTCAGTCTTTACAAAGCTAAAATTGTCACAGGGGTCACCTGTCTCAACCTCCTCGAGTCCTTGAGAGGTGAGCCAGGGAGGGAGAACTCTCAACAGATCCTTCGACCATCTTCGACCCCTCAGCGTCTCATGGATGCCAGTTGTGGCTCCACTTGGCCACATGAGCCATCTTCAGCCATCTTCACCTCAGGGATGGGTCTCTCCAGTGCCAGTGCCACGGTCTCGTGGTGTTTCTGCTTCCTCATTGGCTCCCCCCTCAAGCACCTCATGTCGCCGTCGGACGTCGGCGCGACACACTCGAAGAGTATCAAAAACTTCTTGCAGTCCACCAAGTGGCTGCAAGCTTTAGCGACTGTCAGATTCACTGGCGGGCTGACTCCCACCAATCCCAAAGCTGTCGCTTCGCGTTGGTCAATGTTGTGTTTGAGTCCTCCCCCTGAAGCCAACAAGAACACAGAGCTCTAGGTGAACCCTGGTAGATTTGTGCCATTTAGGGTCCTATTTTTGTGGGTTTTGAGCCCGGGCCGGAGGCAAACGGCCCAAAAGGGATGACTCAAAACAATCAATGTAAGACTTGAAATCAGAGCTAAGCAGGTTGATAAGGTTCCTTTTTGGACCATTGCAAGGCGTTGTCTCACAAATTCTGAAGATGTGTTGTTGTTCATCCGATTCATCCAAGGAAAATCACGGAACATCCCGTTTTGGAACACTTCTTGAGCCCTTAGGGCTCCTGGCCCACATCCCTCTTCACGTAGGTGGGCTCTCGGGTGCCAGGTGCCAGGGGTGTGGTCACCAACCTGAGGACATGGAGCATTCATGGGATCACGGAGCCCACATCTGACTCTGCAAGACATCAAGAAGTCCAGTGTTGGTCCGTTCCTGTCGACCGGCTCTGAGCCGTCGGGTTCTTTCACAAGCTGAATCTACAGATCTCGACCAGCGAACCGGTCCCGGACCACGGTTGGGATCGGTTAGGAGATTCGAACCCAAGACGATTGGCTTGGTTGAAGTTGACCTACAACAACCGGACCGTCACTCACATGGAAAACGATTGGCCTACACTACACTTCCGGTGAAGTGACATCAGCCTACACCATACACCTACAGCTGGCAGTGACATTGGCTTAAGAAGTTGCACCTACACGGACCCGATGTCATTCCACATGGTGTAGGCCAATTGGCACCCGGATCGTCCGGCTGTGTCCTCTACAAGCCAGTGGTTCTAAAGGGTCCATGTGGATCGTCTGTGGCGGGGTAATTCAATGGTTGTGTGGCGACTGAGACTAAGATCGCCTTCTTGAATCTGGCCCAGCTCAATTCGTCTCATCGTAGGACACATCAAACTGGACGTGTCCAGCTTTTTCGGCTAGAGAAGGGCCGCCAGAAGTCCCAGGTCGCCAGAAATCTCTCGACATCGAAAAAGAACAAAAATTAACCTGGAGCTCACATCTGCACCACATGTGTGTTCTTCCCAAGCAGGTCGCAAGGCATGGTTGAGCAGACTTTCCTACTAGTACGAGTCTTGTCCATGAAGTAGCATTGACAGATGCAGAAGATGGCATAAATCCAGCGACCGAACTGCGTACTTTATAAAAAGGGTCAGACAGTCAATTGTGATCCCATGTACATTCATAAGACTGGGCGCCCGTACTCAGATGTACTCAGCATGCATGCTTTGTCTGAGCACTGGGATTTCGGGACTGAGAGGGATCACCGGATCTGTCGTTTCGATGGTTTCGATGGATACGCCGGATGTTTCAAGCATTACTCTCAGTTCTGAGCTGAGCCTGGTTGGGTGGGGGTTAGCTCGTTGGTGGTATTTTGGGGTTTGTGTCGTTCTGACTCCTGACTCTCTGACTGCTTAGTAGGGAACGAGGGGTTCTGACCCCGCACTACAGATTCATTAGCTCATTGGTTGTTTTTGTTTGGATGCTTCAAGCAGGAAGGTTGATGTTGGCTTGTTTGACATTCTCAGACAACCACAAATGGAACATGGAACTTGTTTGTTTGGCACCGGTGGTGGCATTTTGCGTGGACTGGGCACTCTCTTAACTTAACCCAGACTGGGCATTCGTTGTGCTGGGCGTGTTGCTTTGTTTGTTGTTGCTCATCTTGGAGAAATGGAGCTCCCACGTCCATCAGTCCATCAAGGAGCTTGGGACGCCAAAGTTAGACGGTACCCGGTACGAGACTGGCTGAACTGCAGCCGATCAGGCTGAACTGCAGCATTTGGAGAACTTCCCACATCTCATCTCAGATGAACTGGGTGTCTTGAGGAAGGTGTCGATCTATCCTTGTCTTTCTTGATGTCGTTGTTGAAAGCTGTGAGCATTGAACATGTTTTGTTCTTGCTTCCATTCCGAACCATCCCCCACCGGAATGGGTTGAGATGGTGTTCGATCTAGGCTTGGTTGGAGCTGGGCTTCTGGGGAGAAAAGCTGGGCTTCTAGCTTGGAGAAAAGCTCGTCACAACTTCAAGTGAGCAGGATGACTGCTTTTCGCCCTTCTCACTTTGGATTCTCTGCCCAGAACTCCAGCTCCCGTCAATCCAACTCACCAACTCACCCTTTTCACAGTGAATCGTCTAGATGCCCTTGTCACACTGCGGCGCCAGCGTGGAGGGACTAAAAGGAGAGCGGAGTATGCAGCGCAGCGCAGGAGGCCAGGCAAGGTGATGTGTGAAGAGGTTTGCAGGACTCATCACTTGTGTCTAGTTGAGATCTGGCAGCCAAAGCACACCATATATTAATCCCTGCTAGCCTGGACTATTCGACCCAGTTGGGTGGGTTGTTGCTGAACACAGATCATGAAGGCATCGAAACCATGGATAGTGACAGGTCTCTTTTTTCGGCAGGGAAGCCGGAGACAGCTGCAAGCTTCCTCGTCACATCCGAACATCTGGCAACCAATCTCAGAGATCGATGGATTACTCCTTACCCAGTCAGTGGATCACCCGGAAAGCCCCTTTTTGGGGAATTGGTTTCTCCATGTTTCTCCGAGTTTCTTCACTAATAGCAACAAAGCGGAAGAAACTTCTTCACCTCCGTTTCCAGGACACTAGTGAGACTTAGTGGGCAGCTCAGTGCAGCCGCTTGACCCGCAATCGACTCGCGAAAGGTAGAAAGAGGGTACTTGGACCCTCCAAACCTACAGAACAGATCATAACAGTGTCATATATTAGGGATATCCTGATTTTGCGGGACCTTCAAGCACCATTTTGCAAATGCATGTTTATACCTATAAGCAATCATATATCCTACCCTAGAGATCCACATACCTTTTCAGAAGGTACGACTGGGCCCTCCTGGCGCCTACATAAATAGTCTCCCTGCTCACCGTACCTGAGGTTGGGTACGAAAACGGATCCCTAGGGCTACCCAAAAAGGCCAGAACATCAACACGCTCCATCTTTCATGCCCGGGGCGTCCAAAGGCTCACCTGACTCACTGAGGCCCGTGAGCTATGAGTCTCAAGACCGTCGTTGGAACCCGAAGCGAAAGGGTTTGGTGGGAGGCGCCGCCGCGGTGGTGGACGGGTGGGTGAGACGGGTGACCCAAGTTGAGGAGAAAGCGCCCAAACACCAGGAATGGAGCACCAGATGATTGAAAGAAACACCTGGCAATGGCATGCTATGATATGCTATCGCTACCTGTGAGCTCCATGGCTTACATGTGGTATCATGTGGTTATATGGCATCTAGATCGAAATATATGGCTATGGCATGCTATTGCTATCCATATTGCTATTCTTATTGTGAAGAATTGCCCATGGCTTGCGCCACCGATTCATCTCCCCCGATTCGCCTCCCACGGAGAGAGCTTCCGAGCCCTTCGAGGTGGCTTCGTCGAGAGCTTCGCCTTTGGCGGTTCGCCGCCCCAGGAGCGATCGTCGAGTGATTTCTTCCGATCGGCCAAAAACGGGTTCTGTTGAAACTCACCTGGCGACGTCGAACGACCTGGCGATTTGGTTTCTCTCACCTCATAGAAGCCTTTTTGAAGTATCCCATATTTCCTATATACCGCTCATTTCATAGATTTTGATGTTCCATTCGACCATCCCCATCCATCGTCACCGTGCTACCTCGCGTCAGGAGGTGGCTGATGGGTGGATCTCCACTGAAGCGCCTTTGCAGCCCTTCTCCCTGGCCAAGGCACGTGACCATCGGTGCCGACGAAGGTCTGCGACGTGTTTTCGTGCGGTGTCACCGTGTGTCTTTGTTTGCATCCGCGACGAGTGGGAAGGACTTGAAAGATCTTGAAAGAACATCCGATGGGAGTACCGATGGGGTATGTGCAGTACTTCACTCGGTTTGAGACTTGGGGCAGATCTTCCAAGGTAGTTGCCACGGGCCATAAGTGTGTGCTCAAGTACATATAGAGCTAGGGATCAATAGAGCTAGGTTGGCTTTAGGTGTTGGGGTTGGGCTGCTTTGAAGTGAAGGAACGAACTGCTTGGGTTCCTTTGCCGTATATACTGCATCTCCCACGGGTCGAACTTCACTCGGGTCAAGGGTTCAGCCACACATGATCCCAAAGTATGCCATAAGTATATGCGGGGTTTGTCCTAATACCTGTAACAGTCAGTAAACAACTATCACTATTTTTAGACAAGGCCTTTACTAGCCATCATCATCCACTGTTACAGGTAATAGAATAGACCCAAATATATGGATGCTTACATTGGGGGCTATTTGAGGGGTTAATGTAGCTCATTTAACTATACAGTAAGTCGAAAGGCTTTGAGCGCCAGTTACTGTCGATGCTCGCTCGGCTTGGAAAGGCCTTGCCTGCATCCATGATGTTTTGTGGGCGGGGTGGACAGTTAATACCAATAATATAAGATGCCTTTGGCCAAGAGGGATTGTGCTCCAGCCTCCCTGCGGCTATGGCAGGCAAGTCGGTACTGCCAAAGTCAGACTTGGTGCGTTTGATGCGAGCACTGTAACATGAAACAAAACACGTCAGTGGGGGGGTCGACAAATACCATGAAAGACACCTGGCTGTTTTTTATGCGTGGACGAGGTGAGACCGCATTTTCCTGACTTGAGGCGGTGGGAGTGAGCAGCGCTGGCGTCTCCGCAGTGTCTTGGGCAGCAGCGTGTGTGGTTAGATGGTGCGGAAGCTCGATGGCACCCGGGAGCCCCGGAACTCACCCTGGTAGCATTGACCTCCTCAGTATATAGTTTGCTGCTGGTTTGGGGGTCGGTGGAGTCGGTCGGTTTTGGGGTCCCGAAATGGGAAGAGAACAGGTATCCTAGGGATCCACTGCCACCTAGCTTCTCAGGTTCGGGCCGGCCCGACCCGGTCGGCGCCTACATCAACTTGTCTCCCGAACCTCACCGTACCTGAGGTTCCCTACGAAAACGGATTCCTAGGGAGTCTGTTCAGCCCGGGTTCGAGAAAGGGTTCCTCAAGTCTGGTCGAACTGCACCTCCAACACTCAAGTCTACTTGGAAGTGCCAAGTCGTTGATTGGCTTCATGTTCGGTCAACCAAGGTCCGCCCGTTTTGACCCATCGCCCATCGCCATGCTTCACAGGTTTTGGTCCATCCGAGCCAAGAAAAGTCGGATCGCAGGAGGAACCCGGGAGCCGGTGGATTTCCACTTGATACACCAGGGCGGACAGTGAAACCGTTCTACTACCTGGATGTTGGAGGTCAGCTCGGATGGCTCCCGGGATCCGCCATTTTCGGTGCATGAATCTGGGCCCTGGGGCTCCAGTCATGCCGAATCTGAGAAGGGACTGGGGTGGGTGCCAGGTGGGTCCAGTCATACCTTCTGAGGATGTACTTGGAGCCCTAGGGGGAGGATCTGGAAGGACTCGGGAAAGGGGTCTCTCCACGAAGGCGAAGGCGTGCAGACCACGAGTTCAGTTGGTGGTGTAAACAGTATGCATGGTTGGGACGGTGGGGTGCTGGATGCAACTTGGGCTTCCAGCCATGCAGACTTTGCTGGATGAGGCGTAACTGCTGATCACGGACAACTTTAAGGTCTTCACATCTGAAATGTTTTATACCCAAAGGCTCATTGGACCGCCAGTTCCCCAGGGTGAAATGGACCGAACCAACATGTAGCAGTTGCTTCGGGGCCGAGTTCGGGTCGCCTCTGGGTAGACACGCTATAGCCTATATGACTTGGCTTAGATCCCCGGTGGGTCGAAACCGGCCGGCCTACCCTGGCGAAGACCACCGAACATCCTACACGGAATACGATTGGCTTGGCTGCCCCACCACTCATGGGGTAGAGGCATGGGGTAGAAGCTGGTCTTATCAAGGTCCAAGACCAACAGCTATAAGTTCAGCAGGGAAGTGACCCCCTACCCGGGGTTTGGACTTCCGGATTTTGACCCACTGCCACGAGTGATAGGGATATGTCAAGCAAACGAGTGGTAGGCCTGAATATCCGTCTTAGCTCCATCACCCCCTGTCAGCCAGCTTCAAGTCAAGATATCGAGAAGTAGTTGTCCTAGCATTTTTTGCCTGATGTAGTTTCAGAGGAAGCACTCTGGTCCCTCACGAAACTGACCAGCACCTGTAAGATCGCAAACTTGGACAAACACCCTTCCTTGTTTCCCCACTGTTGACCACATGAGTGACATGGGCCGCACTTTGCCCAAGTCTTCTTCCATGTCACGCCGGTCGTTGTTCGTCTCGCCTTGTCCACTGGTCACGCCTCCGGTCCGAGGCGTCGACTCAGGGGCCTCTACATGGCGTCATCAACTTAGCCAAGTTGAGCCCCAGGCGCCTCGGACCGGTCACCAAACGTGACGAGCGGTCGCGTGACGAGCGGACGGGAGGTGATTCCCCCGTTGGGGTCGAAGAGCGAAGGTTTGGATGCTGAGTCGAGTCGTGTCGACTTTTTGAGAGTCGATATGTTTTAAATGTTTTCCATTTGGGCACATCACTTTCGACATAGGTTTCACACTGATTCACATGTTGCTTGAATCGTACCCTT